AGCGAGAAGGCACAAAAAAGAACAATTACCAGGCGTCAGCAGAAATAATCAATTCCAAGAGGACACTAATATGATTCTCCGTGGTTAGTATAACTAATGTTTAGGAATGGCATTCCCCTGGTAACAAGAAGGTACCTAAGTTAAACGTTAACAAGGATTCGCCATTGTAAAACCTTAACAAACAGGCGTCATATAAAATGTTACCATAAGGGCGCAAGCGTATGCCATGAACAAGAAGGAAACAGGATAAACTTGTAGAAAAAGGCACCAGCGTTAATCAACAAGAAATCATCATAATAAATCATTATATCATTAACAAGACGTCAGCAGAAATAATCAATTTCACGAAGGCGCTAAAATAATTCTCCGTTGTAAGTGTAATTAGTGTTAAGGAATGTCATTCTGCTGGTAAGTATAGACATTTTTAAAGGGGGCCTAATTTTCTAGCGAAGTATGACTTGGTCAGTATATATAATGTCAGAGGGGTATGTACAATTTCTTTCTTCTATTGCTATTGTTTGAAAGGGAGCTAAGCTAACAATAACACCGAGGTGTGTTTTCAACTATTTACATATGTATAACAGTGATCCATCGTTGGTTGTCAACGACCGGAATTTTATCGTTCAATTATCTAATCAATATCATATTCATACGCATATGATTTTTGTAATAAATTACTGTAATACTGATGTGTTTATTACGAAAAAATCCATTGCACTTCTTTTTGAATAACAACGTAGCAGAATGCAAATAAAATGGGAAAACATCTCTAAAACAAAGTATATTGTTAGATCATTTTGGCTGAAATAATACTTCATTTCCGGTAAAAAGAACTTTGGGAGCGAACGGAATCCAAATAACTAATAACAAGCATTTGCAATTAAAAGGGCCATTATCAATGGACTAGAATTCAGAAATGATAGAAAATTCTGCGGAACCAGTGCAATAGGCTGTATGTTGATTATAATCAATGGACCTCTGAGAAAGTCTAGCGAGTACTTATCGCAGCAAACTTTATATTAATATTCGTACGGTCGTTATTCTTAATAAAAGTGATTAAACGAGTGATGGATAATCAATTCAACGTTTTGGGGAGCCTTTATATAAATCATATATATCATCGTGTTATTGTAACCTGGAGGTCACATACATATCATTTATAACAAATCATGTCAGGACTTTGACTTGAATTATGACATACAAATTAAATGGGATGATTAATCATGCCGACGATTACATGAGGGACAATCAGGTGATTGACAAAAACATTTAGCAAATATTAAGAGTTTACCAGCAAAAAAAGAACCATTTTTTGTCACTATTGTAATCGTAGGGTAGCAATTGTCTTGCTAGTCATAAAAAGCGAAAAAATGTATGACTTCGCTTACAAATACTGAAAGGTTCCAAGAAACCCTCAAAAACTATGTCCAAGTAAATGAGTGGGATATAACAGGCTCTCTGAACATTGTGAATGGGGTTGTCAAATAATACAACACCTTTATTTGAAAATATGTAAAATAAAGACGATATTGATAAACACATCATGAAAATTGCTTGTGAAACTACAAAAGAAATAATACGGGTATTATTTAGATGTTGTCTATAACCTTGGACAGAATTAACTATAACCTCCATTATTTGAATATTCTCTATAACCTTGGACAGAATTAACTATCACCCCACATTATTTAGATATTCTCTATAACCTTGGACAGAATTAACTATTACCCCACATTATTTATATATTCTCTATCACCTTGGACAGAATTAACTATTACCCCACATTATTTAGATATTCTCTATCACCTTGGACAGAATTAACTATCACCCTACATTGTTTAGATATTCTCTATCACCTTGGACAGAATTAACTATTACTCCACATTATTTAGATATTCTCTATAATCATGGACAGAATTAACTATTCCTCCACATTATTTAGATATTCTCTATAACCTTGGACAGAATTAACTATCCCCCTACATTATTTAGATATTCTTTATAACCTTGGACAGAATTTACTATTACCCCACATTATTTAGATATTCTCTATCTCCTTGGACAGAATTAACTATCACCCTACATTGTTTAGATATACTCTATCACCTTGGACAGAATTAACTATTACCCCACATGATTTATATATTCTCTATTACCTTGGACAGAATAAACTATTACCCCACATTATTTAGATATTCTCTATCACCTTGAACAGAATTAACTATCACCCTACATTGTTTAGATATACTCTATCACCTTGGACAGAATTAACTATTACCCCACATTATTTAGATATTCTATATAACCTTGGACAGAATTAACTATCACCCTACATTATTTAGATATTCTTTATAACCTTGGACAGAATTAACTATTACCCCACATGATTTATATATTCTCTATTACCTTGGACAGAATAAACTATTACCCCACATTATTTAGATATTCTCTATCACCTTGGACAGAATTAACTATCACCCATACATTATTTAGATGTTTTCTATAACCTTGGACAGAATTAACTATTACCCTACATTATTTAGATATTCTCTATAACCTTTGACAGAATTAACTATTACCCCGCATTATTTAGATATTCTCTATAACCTTGGACAGAATTAACTATCACCCCACGTTATTTAGATATTCTCTATAACCTTGGACAGAATTAACTATTCCTCCACATTATTTAGATATTCTCTATAACCTTGGACAGATTTAACTTTTACCCACATTTTTTAGATATTCTCTATAACCTTGGACAAAATCAACTATTACCCCACATTATTTAGATATTCTCTATAACCATTGACAGAATTAACTATTACCCCACATTATTTAGATATTCTCTATAACCTTGGACAGAATTAACTATTACTCCACATTATTTAGATATTCTCTATAACCTTGGACAGAATTAATTATCACCCAACATTATTTAGATATTCTCTATAACCTTGGACAGAATTAACTATTCCTCCACATTATTTAGATATTCTCTATAACCTTGGACAGAATTTACTATTACCCCACATTATTTAGATATTCTCTATAACCTTGGACAAAATTAACTATTACCCCACATTATTTAGATATTCTCTATCACCTTGGACAGAATTAACTATCACCCCACATTATTTAGCTGTATTTGTACCAAAACCGCCCAACACCGCTACTTCTTATGTCACCCGTTGTGAGATAGAACGACATGTGTTATGTCCCTCGTTGTGAGAGAGAACGACATGTGTTATTTTCACCGTTGTGAGATAGAACGACATGTGTTATGTCCCCCGTTGTGGGATAGAACGACATGTGTTATGTCCCCCGTTGTGAGGGGAACGACATGTGTTATGTCCCCCGTTGTGAGAGAGAACGACATGTGTTATGTCCCCCGTTGTGAGATAGAACGACATGTGTTATGTCCCCTGTTGGGAGATAGAACGACATGTGTTATGTCCCCCTTTGGGAGATAGAACGACATGTGTTATGTCTCCCGTTGGGAGATAGAACGACATGTGTTTTAAACATTGTAAATAGCCTTTACACTATTGCATAATAATGACGGAAATTAATAAGACTTTTCCTCACTTTGAAACAAGGTTGTCTTTAAGTGTAGGAGTGATATGCGTGAAAGTCGTTTGCGAAAGAGAGTGAAAATAGGTCACAAATCGTCGTATGTATTTGGGTACACATGTTCTGCTGGATAATCTGTCCTACTATTGTCAATATCGGTAGCCTCGTTCTAAACTTCACATATCTCACCGTCAGATTGTCACTACTCTGCCTCACACAGTAATATAAGATTCTGCTATTCTTAATCATAATACGTTGATAACCTAGAATTATTCTCATCCACGTATTCACCTTCCTGACTGATACTGCAACCTGCTTATATATAATCAAATAATTGAACTACGGTGTCATATCAAGGTTTTTACTTCATACAACTTTGATATATAACATACTTCCAAACTGATTAATCTTATTGAATACAAACAATGGTGTTCCTGCGTGATACGTAGAATAGCTGTACGTGACAAAGCGGTTATATTACTTAGTGCTTAATACTGTTGATATAAACTCGTGCACTGATGATGATAAATAGTTGAGATCTTTATCGAATGACCGACCTTCACTGATAACAAGATGTTGACCTAAATGATGTTTACATAATTCCGATAATGTTTGAACTTTACAACTGTTTACTAAGGTCAGCGATCGTGATGTAAAACTGGATATTAAGGATGGTTGAAAACATAGCTGACTGCTAAATCCAGCAGTCCATGATACTTTAAGATTGTAACATGTTTCAGTTACATGCCAGGAGAGAGTATGATTGTATTTAGCAACCCCTATTTGAGCAAATATAATAATCAAAGCCGTACAAGAGAATATAAACTAATGTTCTCTTAAACAAATTAACAATTTATATTTACAAGAACTAGCCCATATTTTCATATCCGGTCACTTTGCTCAAAGCATGACACGCCGTATAAGTGTGACGATGGAAGAGGAAACTCTATATTTACAGTAGACATTGATATCAAAGATAATACATACACAACATCACATGTCTAGACAAGGACATAAAACACGTGCATAACACGTTCCTTGACATGTGCGTGTGCTGCGTTATACATGTTACAGGGCTGACGGCTTAGCTCCTTTCCTGTTCATTTACATACTGAACAGTAAATCTAAAGTCTGAAGAATGAATAAGCGATTAGATAATGTAGTATCGTACAAACTAAATGCATGATTCCACGCCAAGCTTCGTTTTTATTCTACTTTGTCTTAAATATTTATTCTAGTAGGGTTTCATGTTTTCTTCCGGGTTTTATGTTGTTGTGTTCTTGATTCCCGTTCGTGTCTGAATATCGATATGTTTAAGTCCCTGTTTTACTACCTGTGTGTTGACGAAAAGGTTTATTTTCCTTTAGCACTTCAAACTCAGACGTGTAACTTCCTGTTATCTGAATAATTGGTTTATTTATTGGCAGGTATCGCTGGACACGAGAACATGGACAGAATGATGAATACACTTGGTAATAGACCTTCCCTGTCCATATCTGGAAACATGGGGAACATACAAAGTATGATGAACCGCATGATGGAGAAGATGAGGCCGAACGGCTAATCTTACCGCCAGATGACGCCACCGTCGAACCGGAACAACTTTCAGATTCAGTTTTACTTCCGTTTTGTTCGGCAATCTCTGGAGGTCGCCAACTCTGAAGCCCCTCCCTACTGCGGCTAACAGAATCAATTCATCAAACTGTTTTCCATTATTTGGATTTACGACGTTAAGACTATAAACGTGAAGGAATTTGGTTACACTTTTAGTACAATCTTTTGCAACAACTTGCAATTTAAATTACATTGAAATATATCAAAAAAAAATCGTATGCAGAACATCCGATCTAAAACATAGTATTTATCTATTTATCAATCGTCTAGCAACGTGTTCAACGAAAAATGTCACCCCTTTCCAAGAAAAAAATCTTTTACAGTTTGTATCTAGATTTCTTACATATTGATGTTTGTTTTGTTGTTCTACGTTTTCCCATCTCAGTTATAAACAGTTTTGTGACGATATTTGTATTACGTCTCTGAAGTACATTATACATAACCTATTCATTTTCTTTCATATTTCGACACATGTGTACTACCATAACTTAAGCTGAGATTAAAATAAATAGCTAACAAAAATTAGAAAAATTAATTAATTACAAATGAAACAAAAGTTTAGCAAGTCAAATTATTTTAAAACAAATATAAATTCGTAATCTATACAGAAACATTTATATTCTTTGATTGTTACATTTGTAACAAGCACTATTTTTATTTATCTTGTTGAGAAAAGGTTGTCTCCCTTTATTGTAAGTTAACAAGTTTGACGTCAGACATTTATAAACGCCCTAAAATGTTAACTTGTTGTTGAACTATCAACCATTCCTTGGTCATTGTCACGGTGGAAATAAAGTACAAAACGAATGTCGTGTGTTGGATTATCTGTACCCTGTAGAAATGTAAAACAAAAGAAGGACAATTATAAATTAATACAGCAAGTCACTAATGTTACCACACAATGAACAAATCTTTACATTGAGCCAATGATTTTACCGCACATTGAACATATCTTTACCTTGAGCAAATGCTGTTACCGCACAATGAACATATGTTTACCTTGAGCCAATGATGTTTTCACACAATGAACATATGTTTGTTTACATTGAGCCATTGATGTTACCGCACAATGAACATATGTTTACCTTGAACCAATGATGTTACCACACAATGAACATATGTTTGTTTACCTTGTCCGAATGATATTTCCACAAAATGAACATATGTTTACCTTGAGCCAATGATGTAACCGCACAGTGAACATATGTTTACCTTGAGCCAGTGATGTTACTGCACAGTGAACATATCTTTACCTTGAGCAAATGCTGTTACCGCACAATGAACATATGTTTACCTTGAACCAATGATGTTACCACACAATGAACATATGGTTACCTTGAGCCAATGATGTTACCACACAATGAACATATGTTTGTTTACCTTGTCCGAATGATATTTCCACACAATGAACATATGTTTACGTTTAGCCAATGATGTTTTCACACAATGAACATATGTTTGTTTACAGTGAGCCATTGATGTTACCGCACAATGAACATATGTTTACCTTGAGCCAATGATGAAACCGCACAGAGAACATATGTTTACCTTGAGCCAGTGATGTTACTGCACAGTGAACATATGTTTACCTTGAGCCAATGATGTTTCCACACAATGAACATATGTTTACCTTGAGCCAATGATATTACTGCACAATGAACATATGTTTACCTTGAGCCAGTGATGTTACCGCACAATGAACATATGTTTACCTACCCAATGAACATATGTTTACCTTGAGCCGATGATGTTTCCACACAATGAACATATGTTTGTTTACCTTGAGCCAGTGATGTTACTGCAAAATGAACATATTTTTACCTTGAGTCAACGATTTTACCGCACAATGAACATATGTTTACTTTGAGCCAATGATGTTACTGCACAATGAACATATGGCTACTTTGAGCCAATTACTTTACCACATGAATAACAAAAATGTTTACAGCGCATAACTGAGGTTACCGCACAATGAGCACATGTTTACGCCAAACAACTGCTATGCCAGATAACAGCAAATTATTGATGTCATCGCACAATAGATATGTTTACAGTAAACAACTGATGCCAGTGCAAAATGAAGAAATGTTTACAGCAAAGCGTGGATGTTCCTGCAAAATAGGTTTGTTAAATTAAAACAGCGGATGTCACTGCACAATAAGTTTATTAATATTAAATAGCTGATGTCACTGCACTATAAAGAAATGTTAACTGACTGATGTAACTGCACAATAGGTTTATTAACATTAAAAAGCTGATGTCACTGCACTATAAAGAAATGTTAACTGACTGATGTAACTGCACAATAGGTTTATTAACATTAAATAGCTGATATCACTGCACTATAAAGAAATGTTAACTGACTGATGTCACTGCATAATAGGTGTGTTAACATTAAATAGCTGATATCACTGCACTATAAAGAAATGTTAACTGACTGATGTCACTGCACAATAGGTTTGTTAACATTAAATAGCTGATGTCACTGCACTATAAAGAAATGTTAACTGACTGATGTCGCTGCACAATAGGTTTATTAACATTAAATAGCTGATGTCACTGCACTATAAAGAAATGTTAACTGACTGATGTCACTGCACAATAGGTTTATTAACATTAAATAGCTGATGTCACTGCACTATAAAGAAATGTTAACTGACTGATGTCACTGCACAATAGGTTTATTAACATTAAATAGCTGATGTCACTGCACTATAAAGAAATGTTAACTGACTGATGTCACTGCACAATAGGTTTATTAACATTAAATAGCTGATGTCACTGCACTATAAAGAAATGTTAACTGACTGATGTCACTGCACAATAGGTTTATTAACATTAAATAGCTGATGTCACTGCACTATAAAGAAATGTTAACTGACTGATGTCACTGCACAATAGGTTTATTAACATTAAATAGCTGATGTCACTGCACTATAAAGAAATGTTAACTGACTGATGTCACTGCACAATAGGTTTATTAACATTAAATAGCTGATGTCACTGCACTATAAAGAAATGTTAACTGACTGATGTCACTGCACAATAGGTTTATTAACATTAAATAGCTGATGTCACTGCACTATAAAGAAATGTTAACTGACTGATGTCACTGCACAATAGGTTTATTAACATTAAATAGCTGATGTCACTGCACTATAAAGAAATGTTAACTGACTGATGTCACTGCACAATAGGTTTATTAACATTAAATAGCTGATGTCACTGCACTATAAAGAAATGTTAACTGACTGATGTCACTGCACAATAGGTTTATTAACATTAAATAGCTGATGTCACTGCACTATAAAGAAATGTTAACTGACTGATGTCACTGCACAATAGGTTTATTAACATTAAATAGCTGATGTCACTGCACTATAAAGAAATGTTAACTGACTGATGTCACTGCACAATAGGTTTATTAACATTAAATAGCTGATGTCACTGCACTATAAAGAAATGTTAACTGACTGATGTCACTGCACAATAGGTTTATTAACATTAAATAGCTGATATCACTGCACTATAAAGAAATGTTAACTGACTGATGTCACTGCACAATAGGTTTATTAACATTAAATAGCTGATATCACTGCACTATAAAGAAATGTTAACTGACTGATGTCACTGCACAATAGGTTTATTAACATTAAATAGCTGATATCACTGCACTATAAAGAAATGTTAACTGACTGATGTCACTGCACAATAGGTTTATTAACATTAAATAGCTGATGTCACTGCACTATAAAGAAATGTTAACTGACTGATGTCGCTGCACAATAGGTTTATTAAAATTAAATAGCTAATGTCACTGCACTATAAAGAAATGTTAACTGACTGATGTCACTGCATAATAGGTTTTTTAACATTAAACGGCTGATATCACTGCACTATAAAGAAATGTTAACTGACTGATGACAATGCATAATAGGGTTGCTAACATTAAACGGCTGATGTCACTGCACTATAAAGAAATGTCAACTGACTGATGTCGCTGCACAATAGGTTTATTAACATTAAATAGCTGATGTCACTGCACTATAAAGAAATGATAACTGACTGATGTAACTGCACAATAAGTTTATTAACATTAAATAGCTGATATCAATGCACTATAAAGAAATGTTAACTGACTGATGTCACTGCACAATAGGTTTATTAACATTAAATAGCTGATGTCACTTCACTATAAAGAAATGATAACTGACTGATGTAACTGCACAATAAGTTTATTAGCATTAAATAGCTGATATCACTGCACTATAAAGAAATGTTAACTGACTGATGTCACTACATAGTAGGTTTATTTACATTAAATAGCTGATATCACTGCACTATAAAGAAATGTTAACTGACTGATGTCACCGCACAATAAGTGTATTTACATTAAACGGCTGATGTCACTGCACTATAAAGAAATGTTAACTGACTGATGTCGCTGCACAATAGGTTTATTAACATTAAATAGCTGATGTCACTGCACTATAAAGAAATGATAACTGACTGATGTAACTGCACAATAAGGTTTATTAAAATTAAATACCTGATGTCACTGCACTATAAAGAAATGTTAACTGACTGATGTC